CAGTCAACTATTAATTCCAACTACCAGGAATAGAAGTTGTACAGTACTTTTGCTGTAGACTGGCGGTGCCAGTCTACAGCGTGATATACAGCGCTAGAAATGGGAAAGACCGGGAAAGGTCAAAGACCAGAAAAAATTCCATCGCGACTCGAAAAAATTTTTCCCAACAGCGGAAACGACCCCACCCTCTCTGACCGGATTTCCCCCAACGATGCTCCCTTCTGATGAGAATGTCTTCAGCAACTGAAGAGCAAAGAAAGGTATAAAGTTGCACTAACAAAGTATAAGCACATAATAAATAGAGCTCATACTTAAATAACTGTAATGTAAAGCAAAATAAAAACAACAAAATCGTGCGCGGCAAAACTAGACTATTAAAAACACATCAAAACAGAAGACTCACAATCCTATCTATCTCTCGACTCAGTTCGAAGTTTGTGCCAGTCGTTGTAGGATACCATTTCGATTCCCATTTCTTGGCAAGATGACGTGATCCGTACAAAGAATCCGTTTCGGTCCAATCTATGAACGCCTCTTCTCCATCAAAGAAAATTAGTTGCAAGGCGACGTCCTGCAAAATGAGTCAGAGTGGCTATCTGAACAGCTATTGAGTTTCAATTTTCATTACAACAAATATTCAAATATGAGAGATAAGGAAGAAGAATAGAAAGTGTAAAAAGTTGTGAGAAAGTGTCCGTTTTCTCATGAAACGTGCCCAGAATCGTTCGCTCGGATGCGGGGAGCTTCAGGACTGCTCGCTTTAGCTTCACTGATTTGGCGAGAGCGGGCTAGCGCCGCACAAACCCTGCTCCGTCACACATCCCAGCATCCGCAGCGAACAAACCTGCAGAACTAAATAAGCAGTTGCGGCTGTATTGGCCGTGGTTAAATGCCTGAACATAACTATAGACGTTCAAGCAGTACTCTTGTTTTAGCAAATCGAGAGAACTAGTGCCTGAGTTTAGTACCGGAGAATCCCACAACAGTAGTACTTCGTCGCTTGGGAACTAGGACCAGGCTTTGATAGGATTTTTTCCACCCAGTCTCCCACACAGTCGCAGCAGGAATACCTCGCAACTATTAATGATAGTACAAGTGAGAAGTTGTTTGTTGACGAGTTCCCCCATTCTCCTCTATCAACGACAGCTTTTATAAAGAAAAACTGAAAAGTTCATCGGATCCTGAGAAACTGAAAAAGTGGTAGGTATTTGGAGAAACTCCAGAAAATGGTACGTAGGATGGGGAAGTAGGAGGAGGAGGGAGGGGAGTCGTACCAGTAGAGAGAGTTCCCCTGAACGGGAAGGGGTCGCACGGACTCCGCCATTTCACATATGATAATGTTGCACGTGTTGTAGGGGCATGGGACGGCACCAATTGTTGTAAAAAAGAAAAAACGTTCAAGCAGTACTCTTGTTTTAGCAGATCGAGAGAACTAGTGCCTGAGTTTAGTACCGGAGAATCCCACAGTACAGTTGATTCGTGTACTGGACAGATTCTTGGGCTCGACACTTGACAAGCTACCTTCCGATATGGAAGCGTCAGGGTATCACCGGCCATAGCGCTAACGGGCCCAAGCACCTTAGCCGTTGCGTCATTATGCATTGGCCGGAATTCAAGGATTTGCAAGGCGCAAAATGTGGCAAACGCAAATACCTTGCATCCGGTTCGATGAATTTGTCGAGTAAGTCAGCAACCGCTTTTTCCCCCCCCCGCCAAAAAGCAGACCAAAGCGCCTCATTCGTAACCAACACGCCATGAGGATTAGGTATAGTATTCAGTCTCATTTTTTTTTTGAAGACTGATTCGAGCGACTATGCAACAGCTAGAAATAGCCTGTGAACGATCCATCAAACTAGAGTTCTATCCACGAAGGCAGTTGGCACGATAATTTGGTACCCGGAATAAAATGCTAGCAGGGCGCTATATAGTGGGGGAAATGGCGAAAAAAACGGAGTGAAACGATCAATCTTGCGAAGGAAAAGCCTTCGTTCTCAATGACTTAAAAATCAATTTCGGACGAGTTTCCCGTAGGCATCTTGCCAATAACCGCTACCGAAGATACGGCTGCATGTGTGTACTCATATATCCATGCAGCACCGCGGCCGCTTCATACCAATCCCTTCGCTTCATAATTTGCTTAGCAAATGAATCAATACGAGCGTCAGGAACGGTCGTCCATTTGTGGGCGGGCGGGCGTGGTGGGCGTTCGGGTCGGTATGTTGTAGCTTGATAGGACCCTTACACTGGTGACTTCCTTGGTGAACGCGCTAACGCCTTCTAAAGAGCGCGGAATTCCTTCCTGCCAGGCGTATTAATCCTACTCGTCTTGGGGGATTTATCGTGCCAAGTGCCTTTAAGACGCAGAAAGCTTAAATTCTGATCCGCACCTTTTTTCTGAACCTGCTCTGAATACGCTCGACTGCTGAGACCGGTATGTTACGGTTTCCATTTTCTGCAAAGCGAATGCAGAAATCCGCGTGTTGTGAAGGTTGCCTTGCAGAAGGATGACACCTACGTAGGTCAACATACCTACTGTGGTGGGTGTATTCCTCGAGGGACCCAGGGCATACTTAAATGACAAAATTCTATGCCATTCCCTGGTGGGCATTGATTTTCTCATCTTTGATTTCGTCTGACGACTTAACACCCTAATTTGGAGCTTTTCCGAATCGCCATGATTCCTGTCCACGCCGCGTAAGGCCTATGTCAACTTCTTAGAATTTACATCTCCAGTTTCGGCTCATCTGCGCTACCCACACATAAAACCACCATTTGGACATTAGGGCAGATGCGTGGCAAGTTTCCCGGTAAGGTTGTCCCACCAAACCGGGTTTCCGCTGCATCAGGATGATGCCAGAGTGATTAATGTGATTAAAGTGATTAATTAATGATTGAAGAATGATTAACCTGTGAAGACTATATTGATTGTTCTATGACATTCTTCATTTAAACCTTGTGCAAGTATTATTTTGAGGTAATTGTACTTATCGGGTTAGACGTTCAAAAACTTGCTCGACCTAATAGCATCCGCTGAAATTCAAAGGTTTGGAGTTTTAGGTAAGTAAAATCGTACTTAGAAGGCTAATTCCCGCGACCACAGTTCATAGGCAATACAGCTCAAAAATAGAATTGCCGTGTGTTTGTTGATTTGAAGAAGAGTGTGTGTCCTTGAGAATAAGGCAGCAGCAGAATATTTACTTAAAGACAGTAGAATAACAACTAGCAAAATCACCCGTTTATATACTCCTCTGCCTGGTCAAAAGATCCAGTCAAACCAGGCAGATCTAGTACAACCCAAGATCAAATACCTACATGTAAGAGATCAAGGTGTCCCCAACAAGAAGTAAGCATGAAAAAGCGCCCGGAATAAGACCCTCTTTATTGCAATTGATCATGATCACCGGACGAGCGTAAGGTCAAGATCAATTGTGAATTGCGAAAGGCGGCGATACACTGATAAGAGACGAGAGAGGCCAGAAAACGACGGGCGAGAGAGCGCAATGGCAGTCTCACAACGACACGGTCACTGGAGGCCGGCATGGGCCTATCGGGCGCAAATGGGCCTAAAACCTGAGCGCCCTGCGTTTTGCTTGCTGTTTTTCAACTTTTAAAAGCAGCATATGACGTTGCCTGCTTGACCGTCGTGCATGGTTAT